CTGCTGAGAAAGGCTGTGCAAAGACCTGAAACGATGTGCTGCAATGTCTGTGTATTTTTGAAGAAAGTAATAACTCGCACTGAGTCTTAATACATTACTTTATTTCATTATTTTCGCCCTTCATTTGAGAAACACTATCCAATGATTTATTATGTTTGTGTTACACACACACCATTACTGAATTCATTCTAAAAACAAGAATAACCTACATACAACAATAGGGAGCCCTGGCTCAAGGACGGACAAAACAAGGACACCACACATGATTATTTTCCAATTACAGTATATTTATTTAAAGAGAGTAACTAAATTGTGATATCAGTTTAATCAGTAATGTGTGTGTAGTGTATGGGTGTGTGATGTGTCAGCAGGGCCGGACTGGGACCATAGGTCAGGCCGTGAATTATACACCCAGCCAGGCCATACCAGTTTGTTTTGGGGGCGTTTTGCTGGATGTATCGTCAATATCTACAACGTTGCTGCCCTACTCAGTTGCAATTTCCCTTGTGCTGGACCCTGAATCTTGACTTGTCTTGTCAACCTCCTCAGCATCTGCTGGTACTGAATAAGAACCAGCATTGGGATGGATTAAACTCTGATCAATAACTATAACTTATTGAGAGAACATGAACATAGCTTGCTTATACTGTTGTCATTACATTTCCTTTGGTTTTGTTCAGTGTCAGTCATAGCCTATTGAAACCGTTTCCTCTGTACCTGCCAGTTCTGTCCAATGAGCTCTGCATCTCTCCCTCAGGGCCATCGCCATCAGCATCATCTGATAGTGGAACTGAATAAGGAGAACATGTAATCATTACATTAACAACAATTTATGAAATAACATTGTTCAAGAACATATATTATGCAACACTTATTTTATCACTAATGGCGCGTTTCCACTGCAGCGCGGAGCTCGCTTTAAGCGTGCCGAGCCGTGCGGGGTCCGTTTTTGGTTGCGTTTCCACTTGGCCTAGTACCGGCTAGCGGGTCCTAATTCACAGTTTTTCTGGCCCCATAAAATCGTGGTTCTAGGGCCAGGAACAACCAGACTGAGTCGGGCTGAGTATGCTAAACTAGAGAGAGAATCACTAACAGGGGGCCTACAACTACAACAAGATGAACATATTTGAACGTGATTTAATCGTAATACACGTTTCAAAATGATGCCGAAGTAACAACATACTGATACCGGTTAGTAAAAACCATGAATTAATGCTTTGACAAGTCTGCAGACAGACGGCAGGCGAAAACCCCTTTTAAAATGCGTGTTTTCTAAATGGAGCTTGGCTAAGCTAACGATAGATATGCTCCGACCGTCCACACTCACAACAACGGCCTATACAGACATAAATAAACCAGCGACTGTATTCGCCATGACACAGGCAGTCTGTGGTTTGTACTTGTTTAACTTTTGTCTAGTTTCTGAAAAGATATGAAGTGCTGTGAGCTCTGCGTGCTAAGAGCTAACGGCTGTGTTGTTTTTCTGGGGCTCTCATTGAAGATGACGTCACGGCTCCACCTATACTGCGTTACTATAGTAACTACCCCAGTTCCTAAACTGTAATGGAAGCGCAGCATTAAAGTGAGCCGGGCCTAATAAGGCCTAACCAAACCGCGCGAGGCCTGCAGTGGAAACGCGCCAAAAGTTGACCCTGTATTTGCATGGCCTAATACCATAATGATTGTCTCCCCTTTAGACAACACAGTGTTTCCCACAGATCTGAAATATACTTGGGGGGGTGGTGGTAGCGGGGGGGTTGATGTGACGTGCAACAACATTAACATTAACCTTTCTGTTGGTCGCTTGTTAGCAGACCCTTCACGGATGGCAGAGCGAACAGGTACAGGCAGGGCCCATACTGATAGCCCTATAGTTTAAATCTACCACCCACACATGAACATATGGAAATGGGTTACTATATAAAAAAATTAATGTATTTATAAATGTATTTAGGAACCTATCCATGTGATTTTTAGTGGAGGTGGACCTCAAATCCTCTAGGGGGGTCCAGGGGCATGCCCCCCCGGTAAGATTTTATTTTTTTATTTTGGAGTTAAATGCATCAATCTGGTGCACTTTGAGGGGAACATAAAGAGACTAGATCTATGGAAACACCTATATTAAACAGAACTGTATACATTTCAATAATCATAAAATCAAGGCCATAACCAATAACATACCATTTCCAATATGAAAAAAACACTGAAACTTGTTTATTAATTTATTTTTGGTTCATTTATAGTTGTGAGTGTGTCTGTGCTCCTGAATCAGCCTCTCCTGTCTCCCTCATCTCCCCCCTCCTCTCCCCCCTCTCCATCCTCTCCCCCTGCTCCTCTTTGAGGCAGCAGCAAAGACTAGTTTTCTCTCAACAAGTTTTAAAAGTGTATCTTACCTTTTTTCACCTAGTTAACTTTTTATTTATTTATTCATGCATATTTTACTAATCACATTACATTTCATTTAGCTGACGCTTTTATCCAAAGCGACTTATAATGACCGATTACAGGGACATTCTCCCTGGAGTAACTAAGGGCTAAGTGCCTTACTCAAGGGCACACTAGTGGTGGTGTTCCTGGCAGCATTTGAACTCACAGCCTTCCGATCTTCAGCCCACCTCACTATCCATTAGACCAATCACTACCCTCTCAAATGGAAATTTCACTAGCAGGAACCACGCCACAACAGTGTGATTTTTGTAAGTTTATTGAAGTAACATGTGAATGATATGAGGGGGTGAAGGGATGATATGGGAGGACGAGCTGTGGTCCGTGCAGTGGGAGACTGAGAGTGGGGGTTCCGTCTCCGGCATGATCTGCGTGGGCTGATTACGGGCCCCCAGACAATACCTGGAATTAAAATGTTAGTATATACAGTATATAAATATGCACAGTTTAAATATAAATGTTGACGGGCAGAGGATGTTGGGATGAAGGGATGAGGGATGGAGGGATGTAGGGATGAAGGGATGTAGGGATGAGGGATGTAGGGATGAGGGATGTTGGGATGAGGGATGTAGGGATGAGGGATGTTGGGATGAGGGATGTTTGGGATGAAGGGATGTAGGGATGAGGGATGTTTGGATGAGGGATGTAGGGATGTGGGATGTTGGGATGAGGGATGTTGGCTGAGGGATGTTGGGATGAGGGCTGTTGGGAGGGCTGTGGGCTGGCTGTCGGCCTCGGGCTGTGTGGCTGGGCTGTTGGGCTGCCGTGTCGGGCTGCTGGGCTGCGGCTGTTGGGATGCCGGGCTGTCGGGCTGAGGCTGTTGGGTCGGGCTGTTGGTGCTGCGGGCTGTCGGGCTGCGGGCTGTTGGGCTGCGGGCTGTTGGGCTGCGGCCTGTCGGGCTGCGGGCTTTGGGCTGCCGGGCTGTCGGGCTGCGGGCTGTCGGGCTGCGGGCTGTTGGGCTGCGGGCTGTCGGGCTGCGGGCCTGTTGGGCTGCCGGGCTGTCGGGCTGCGGGCTGTTGGGCTGCCGCGCTGTCGGGCTGCGGGCTGCCGGGCTGCGGGGTGCCGGGCTGTCGGGCTGTCGGGCTGGAGGGATGGGGGGCTGTAGGGATGTTGAGGGAGGGAAGAGGGATGGATGGATGTATCGCTCTGTGTGAGTCGGAAGGGGAACTGTATGGGTAGAAAGGGAGAGGGAGTGTGGGTTGAAAGGATGGAGACAAGCAGTGGCCGGCAGTTTTGCCGGATATAAATAGGGGTGGCCGTGGTTCGAGGCGGAGTTTTAGGCGTGGCCATGCTCCTGAACCTATGTTATTGATTTAACCTCATATGTGTTTACATAAATGGTGACCACACCATTTGAGACCCACTGAGAACTTAGACTAAGTTAACTATCTAAACACTCAGAGAGTCCTTTACCTCACCTGAGCTGAGGTTATCCTGAGCTTGAATGACACACAGAGACCAATCAAGGGCTTTGATTTATGATCTGTATGACAGCGGCCATGTCGGCAGGCCACATCATGTGGACAGCCAGTCACCCTGTGTGAGGCAGGCCACTTAACAGGCCAGAAGGAGGCGAGATCAGAGCAAGGGAGCGAGGGATCATTGTCCACAAGTTAATCGATCGCAGATGGCGTCGTGCTCACGGACGAATACAAAAAAAAAATTATTAAAAAATAAATGTATAAATAAAAAATAAATACCTAAATGGGTCGCGAAATATACTTGGGCGGCCGTTAATATACCTGGGCGGCCGCCCAAGTATAGTCTATATGTGGGAAACCCTGCAACATAACCATCTCAAGTTATTCACTCACAGTATGAGGGGTGTGTAGCCCCACAGTTAGCTGCAGTCTAACGGTTATATTACATATATTTGCCTTGAGTAACATTAAGGACATGTTTGGGTTTTGTGTAGCCTTTTAGTCTTCAGTCACACAGGGCCTGCCACTAACTTAGCATTGGACTGAGAAACTGTTTTGTTGACAGTCGATGTGCACATCAGGCTACAATATAGAAAGAAAAGCCCTCATAATAGTGGCACTGACACTAGAAAAGTGGATCACATCACTCCGGTTCTGAGATCATTATACTGGCTTCCAGACTGCCAAAGAATTGATTTTAAAATACTACTGCTAGTTTTTAAATCACTAAATGGCTTAGGACCGAGGTATAGACGACCTTCTCCATCACTATGAAGCATCCAGGAGTCTCAGGTCTCTGGGTCAGGTCTGCTCTCTGTTCCGAGAATAACCACTAAACATGGAAAAGCAGCTTTTAGTTATTATTCCAACAATTTGGAACAAACTGCCTAAATCATGCACGTCCGCCGAAACACTTCCTATTTTTAAAACTAAAAACGCACCTATTTGCCGCTGCCCATACTGACACTACAGTATGCCTTTTTAGTCATGTATTCTGTACCTGCTGTGTTTATTTATTTATTTTATTTCAGCATCCATGGTTGACACGTCAGCGCTCCGCTCAGTTAGCTTAGTTATCTGTTCTTTGGCACAAGTCACACCTCATAGAGTGAAGGGGGGGTGGGGGGGGGGAGAGATAGGGTAATGAAAATGATGGCGACCGTTGCAGAGGAGATAAGAATCCAAACAAACTCCTGTCCTGTCCCCGACACCAGTCTCAGCCCTCTGTCCGTCAAACTCACGCGGAAGCACCAGCAGGACAGACAGTGGAGCGTACGCTTCGTTTACCTGCAGTGCTGTGAGTACCGACACAACACGACGTTACAGACCCTAGCACAACACACTGATGGACCGCCACAATACAAGCTAGGACCAACATCCGGTTTGTCACAGCAGAGTACATGCACACTTATCATATTTAGGATTCGTAATAGGGGGGGGGGGGGCTCTCTCGACAGGGGGTGTTGGAAGTGTTGGGAGAAGGGGGGGGGGATACCACACATTCCTTTGGATGTATGGTATCCAGCCAGGGCTATGATGGATGCCCAGGCCAACCGCCACACACGCATAGGTTTCTTCAACTATAAGAATAACAGGGTTTTTATTAGTTACATTCATCTGGAATTCATTTACTTCTTACAATATTACAACATAATGTTCTATTAAGATTTTTTACAATGTTTTAAGAGACTATACATTAGTTTTTTCAAATTGTTTTAACTTACTATATTATGAATTGTGTCATGTTATTTATGACTTGCATTATTATGATTTCAATTCACATCTTTTTCCAACACACAATACTCTTTTTCATATTTTTTGACATGCATTACAAGGTTTTTTTAAATATATTTTTGGTCATACTATACTATCACTTTGTTCATGATATTTCCGACATACTATGAATTATTTTCATATTTCAACATACTATAATAAGACTTTAAATGATATTTTTTAACATACTTTACTTCGACTTTTTTGTCATACAATACTATTATATCTTTTGTTTTTTTCCGACTTGTTATGCTATGACTGTTTTAACACACTTTGTCTTTATCCTTCACGATTATGGCAAAAATGAACACCACAATTATGTTGATCAATGTTGAGGTTATTTATCACTATTATTCATTTGTGTGAATTGGTGTTCAAAACCTTTATTTATCCAGGTAAAATCCCATTGAGATCAATGATCTCTTTTTCAAGGGAGACCTGCAGCAGTAGGTTCCACAAGAAGACATAAACAACAGAACAACAAAAGGACATCATACAGCAAAATGTACAGGGATTACAATTTACATATTTAACCACAAGTACAGGTACCACCAGCATCTGATTTTGTAGCATCCAACCGAGCTTTAAAAACATGTGGTGGTACTAGCTTGGTAATTTTCCATTCTTTTTGCAGACTGTTCAATGTTAGTGGAGCTGCACATCTAAAAGCTTTCTTCCCTAAGACAGTCCTAGCACTTGGCACATTTAATAAAACCACAGCATGCGATCTCAGGCAATAAGTACTTTCAATTCGCAGAGAGATCAGAGAGCAGATATAAGATGGTAGTTTATCCAACATGGCTTTGTAAATGAAAAAGTACCAGTGACTGAGCCTTCGTACAGTAAGTGATGGCATAACCGCCTTGGTATACAGGGTACAGTAATGCGTAAGTGCTTTACAATTTGTCAAAAATCTCAGTGCACTGTGATACGCAGCATCTAACTTGCTCAGGTAATTGGCAGGTGCATTCATATATAACAAATCACCATAATCCAGCACAGGTAAAAAGGTCACAGTGACTTTTCCTGGCCTCAAGCGAGAAACAGGACTTATAAAAGGTGTTTATAAAAGTATTTATAAATGTGCTTTCGAAATGGAATAAACCGCACAGCATTTATTTCAACTCTGCTAATGTAGAGATTATGAGAAAACAGACGTTGCGATATTACATTTAACTGCAATATGTATTGCAATCTAAAAAAAATCACAGGAATAATTCCAGAAAAGAACAACATACATTCTGCAGAGCACAGAGCCACCTACACCAACACCAACCAACTATAGCAGGTCAGCCCAATGAACCCCTGCTAGTAGGACATAACCTGTAAAAGGGTAATGCGGAAATGTTATTATTATATTATATTTCTAACCTCCTTCAACATAGATACGCTTTTTTAATATGCTGAAATCTGAACCATTTTGTCTGTAAATGTAAGACCATAACAATGCCAATCAACATTTCCCTGAGCCCAAAGTCACTTCATAAAGTTTTTTTTTTTTTTCAACTACGTCTAACACCCAGATATTCAGCCTGCTATCAAAGCTATTTCTTATATTGTAGAATATGGACGCAGAAAATGTTTGTAATTTGTGCTTAAAAAGTGGCTGAAATTATTATTAATATCTACAGTATTCCACACCTAATAAAGACTACACTTCCTGGTCCCTCACTGCTTCACTTCTGCTTTGCAACTCGCAACTGGTGGTGAGACATGTGGCAGCAACATTTAGAATTGTTTTTGTTATGGTCAGCTCAACCTGTGCAACAAGTTAGGAAGTGAGTCATTTAAGTGTGTCAACTTTCTGACATACTTTGGCAGACAAATCAAAATGCCATTAAATGTCCATTAAGGTCACTTTGTCCATCTTTCTATGTCAATCTTTACATTCTGTCTGTCTGTGACACAAGTTATTGAGCCATTATGTTACATGCCTCGGCAGCTGTGAGAACACAGACAATATGAAAAAGATTATAATGACACGTCTGATGACTGACGCCATACTGTATGTCGCACCCTCAGCCATCTTTAGAGGGGTGGAGGGAGAACAGCAGAGGATTGATAACACAATCAGGGAAAACGCTCAGACTGATTCCAAATGACAGCTTATTTCAAGTGATGACGGGAGGCCTGTAGAGTGGATGTGATGGATTTGAATGCGACAGAAAAGTGAGCTGCCTCATCAATACATCCATCAACATGTGCTGACAGGGGGGGCGGGGCCGCTGGAGGGAGACTGAGTGTTAGCATTTACATCGAAGTAAAATAAAATGTATCTTATTACCTATTTTGTGCTGTGTTCAGGGTATAACTGTATCCAAACTGAGGCAAGGTATTGATATCTCAGGGGGGAAATTGGTTTTCATGACAGTCAAAAATAAGGTTATTCTGTATATTTTATAATGTGTATACACTTTTCAAAAGGCTGCTGTGACAAGACAATTTCCCAACTTGGGATAAATAAAGTATCTATCTATCTATGCAGAATGTATTATACAAACATAAGAAATAATAATGTAAATAAATAAAATATAAACGTAGGAAATGATTGTAAAATGTCCAATAAGCGATACATCAAATACAAATAATAAAATATCATATACACATCAAAAGTCCTGTGCCGGCATTTAGACTCAAAGTGCCTAAAACAGTGTTTTAACTCCAGTCCAGCTTATTGTCTATACTCTTACTCCTCCATAATGTCTACACTGAACTCTGGATTTAAACCGGGGTCACGGTGCCTTGGTTCTCCTCAGGTCCTCCTTAGTTTTTGAAGCTGCAGGTGGTCCTGCAAAAAAGAGGTCAATAAAATAGCTCTGATCAATATAACAGCAACTGAACAGGTGTTAACTGAACAAATCCACCTGGAACATTAACTGTATAGTAGCTTAGCCATCCAAATAGATAACAATCAGTTACATAACAATACAAAACCCAAATCACATGGAGCAGCCCTATATATAGTATATAAAACCACACTTTTAAACTGATTTGATCCGGTAACATAGTGTGTACTGCTTCTCTGTATGTTTACTGTCTCACTCTGACAATAGCCTCAAGGCCAAGCTCCTTCCAGTACACACCCAACAGGTTCAATTGTAACCATAGGCACTCGAAGCATCCTGTTTGTCAGTTAGTTTATGTTATTCTACCTGAGATGGAAGTAGAGTCCCCCAGTGTGTCAGGGAACATTGAAAGGAATGAAATTGGCTGATGCAAACTTCATGAACCATCATCAGGGATGATATGTAGCCTGCAGTGAAAGAAACCGCTTCATGCAGTTCAACCTTTTTTGAACTGAGAGCTACTTTTAAAGTTACCAGTCTGCAGAGATCTACCAGTCCAAATAGAGAGGCGTATTACTGACAGCCTACTACCTGGTAAATACACACTTCTACTTGTATAAAAGTGACCTTTGTACGATTAATACTTCATAAAATACTGCAGATCCTTTATCTTACCTCTTTCTAATCTACACACATACAAGTATTTAACTGAAGTTACACAACAGCGTTGTTGATACAGAGTTGGAGTTTATTCACACGTCACATACTACAGTGGGTAATGTTTTCAAGAAACATTGAACAGTGCTGCCACATATGACACAGGGAAAAAAGAAAAGACTCTGAACCCTTTCTTTGCCATTATATAAAAACAGTGTTGCTTCAAAAGTATAAATGAGGCTTACTAATAAGACAACTCAGATCTGAAGCTACACAGGAATCTGCTGCAACAGTGCAATAAAAAAGACAACATTAATAGAATCAAACCTTTTTGTTGTTGCATGTTAGGAGACTCTAGAGGTTCCTTTCACTACCATGACCAACTTTCTGCACAATATTTTGCTTATTTCACAGCTACTTAGAAAAATCACTCATTTGACAAAACATCCTTTCTGTCTTCCTCTGCTGTTTCCTTTGGTGTTGACTTCCTGTTGCTCTTCTGCTGTTCTCTTTAGTGTTTATTTCCTGTCTGCTTTTGCTGATTTCTCTATCTTCCAGCGCGCTGTGTATTTCTCTCTCTTGATTCCTTGTTCTTTTTTACTTTTTCTTTACTGGGAAAGTTTTTAGCCATTATGAATCAAAAGTGTTGTGCTCTTCTCTGATTGAGAAACACACAAAAATGTGTTTCGTGGCCTTGGCTGACATTAAGTTGATTGGACTGATATGACTGCACTTAGTCCCTTAATCAGAGCGACCTTAGCGCTGATCTGCTATCAAAAAAGTGCAGAATGCTAAATGTCCTTATTGACCGATTCAAATTGAGTATTTAACTAAGCTGTGTAATAAAAAGTAATAGCAACTGTACACAATTACAGACTGCAGCACAGAGAACAGAACGCATTTTGCACAATGGCATTCCAGTGGAGTTTGTGCTAATGATGGGTACTGGTGGTGTGTCTCATTGGAGGTTGATGTCAGCAGCTGGAGGGCAATCGTTTTAAGGTAGGGGCAGAGTGGGTGGTGTGGAGTATTTTCTATAATGTTGGCTTTGGATCCAAGACTCCACTATCACTGAGATACGACACGTTGGTGGAGAGAGAATGAATGATCTGATGGACGATGTGCACAGTTTTGAGAAATGTACAACACTGTGAGTAAATTGAAAAGCAGATGGAGCAGTAGAGGGGGACCGGGGACAGTGAGAGCTCAGATGAGATACCACGGCTGCGAATACAGTTATTTCACTTTCTGCTGCCTGTTGGTCATGTGGGTTTGTTATTTTAACAGACTGTACGTTCCACTTCATACCTGCTTATATCTGTGTTTCTTTTATCTGTCTCTGAACTGGAAAATTAAGTCATCGTTCAAAATATGTGGTAAATTTGAAACTCTGATACAGTCTTGTTTGTTTTATTATTTTAACTGCGGTTTATTTAATTCACCTCTTCCTCATTTTCTTAATAACACACACAATTTCAGCTGATCATAATCTCAGCAGACAACACATTGCACAACCTTTTGCAAATGGCCATGTGCACCAACAGACATTGGACATATTGGACACCTGCATTTTTGACAGTCCTATCAATGTACAGTACTTTGTTTTTGTTGGATTGAAGAACAAATACTTTCTTGTATTATTCTGAAAACCTTTTGTCTGTACAGATTTGTGTGATATCAAGTAGATCAGAACTTTGTGACTTATCTCTGATTGATCTGACTAAGCTCTTTTTTCCCCCATAGATTTCTTGACCATTGCAACAATATTGGGAACTGGAATCTTAGGTGAGTAATTCTATCTTCATAATTAAGATACAGATATAACAAACATCAACTATGAGTCCAATAACCTCAACATCAAAGTCGTAGCTACTAAACTTCTAGATATCACTTGTTATCACCAGGAAAACATTGCCTACATTATAGTTTGATTAAGGGAACACACATCGGATCGCACTTAAAGGTGGGGTAGGTAATTTTGGAGAAACCAGCTCGAATGCGCTAGAATTTGAAAATACACAGCTGGAACAAATCTGCCACTTCCTCACAGAGCCCCTCCTCTAACACACACGAACGCGCACATGACCAATGAGGGCACGAGATAAGTTTGTGCACAGATGGAAGGCTGACAGGCAGGTAGGCCGTCCAGTTATTTTAGCCGGGCCGGCTCAGATGATTGGTCGTGCTTTTTACAGTACTACGGCTTCCACAGATGACATTTTTTTATGTATTTATTGTCAAAGCATTTCATGTATTCATTGATGTTAAGAGCATTCCATGGAATATAACAAGTGTTTCTGAAGTGAATTACATACCCCACCTTTACGTTATGATGAGTTTGGTCTGTGGAAGACAAAGACCAGTCTCCTCACATCTGATATGATCGGATTGGGGATAGCTTAGTAAATAGTAAATGTGAAAATCGATTGGATATTAGAAACATTCTCTTGACAAGAGACAGATTACATCAAATTGAGCAACCAAACCTTTTGGCACACTCTTCCCAAAGAGTGTTGGATAGGACCATATAACAGGCAAACACTACTGTATCATTCTGTCTTATTTCTCCATCAACACCGACTACATCCTGAAAATGTCCTTCAAAAAATAGGTGTCACACAAACACTTGGCATGTATGACTCAACTTATGATGGTAACAACTTTTGTGAGCTATTTTCTCTCTCTACAAGACTGCCTTTTTATCATATCAGTTCATTTGGAACGTAATTAAGACTCTGTCCATCTCTTGGCTTTCATTGGCAGAGCAAACTTAACGGTGGTTTATGAAGTGTATTTAACACCTGAGAGTTTTTTTAGTCAAGGTGGAAATTACATGGCACATTACATTTAACTAGTTTGTTTTTTAGCGGGGTCCTCATGTAGTTCCAGAAAGGTGGAGCCCTTCCTAGTTAGTACTTGTTCAAACACTTAAACCTCATATTGTAATCAGCACTTACCATAAAATGTTATGGTAAGTTTGAGCAAGAGCGTAAAGAAGCATGTATGAGAGAGAATGATGAGCTGTTAAATTGTCACAAGGGCAGGTGGATGGGCTGACTAAAACATAGACGTCATTAAATCTACTGAGGTGGGGGTCAAATTCTAAAACATTTCTTCAATTTCTAGGTCTTCCAGTAACGATATCCCATGCTGGACTGGTGCCTTTCCTCTTCTCTTTTCTCGTTGGCTTCTTTGTCCAGGTAAGTAATACATGAACTTAATGGACGCTTATTTTCTTAAAAGACTGGCATGGTCTATGGAAATGTAAGATACTGACACAAAGGAGTCTTAACAGTTTGAAAAGGAGATCCTGGATGAGGAAGAGAAGAGATCGCACATTAACATGTTAACATTTTGGTTTAAAATGGGAGAATCGACAAGGAGAAGGTTACGTGTTTGGATTACATACTGCATTTGACCTCATAAAGTCTGACTTTACAGCTTACACAATATCCGATTAAGTCAAATCTAACAATAACAGAGCTAAACTAAGAAAACTGTGACGATGAAACAGAATGTTATAGACAGAGGCTACTAATCATGTTCTCTTTCAGTGTCTGGAAGAGGCTTTGGTGGCTTTGTTGTGATCAGGATTTCTTAAAAGAAAATAAAGGGGAACCTACTTTTTTGGGTTTTCCCTTTCCTGTAGTTCATTCTGGAGGTCTCCTATTCAATGTCTATAAAGCAGCTCTAGAGGTTATAATGCATGACATCACCAGTTAAAGACTCAAAACCCCATAAGCTCATGTTCATTATTATTGATTGAACGTTCCTGTAAAAATAAAAAACAGGAGTTCTTAATTTGGGTGACGTTCCCCTTTAAAGAGGCCCTATTGTGCTTATTGGGGAAATGCTTTCCTATAGTGTGTTATATAGGTTTGTGTGTATGTAAACGGTCTGCAAAGGCTAAAATACGCACAGGCAGTATGAGAAAGATCAAGAGCTTTTTGAACACTAAAACATGGAGACATGTCATGAGAGGCTCGAAATACAAATATGAACCTGAAAATGAGCATGATATGTCCCTAACAGAGTTGGGTGTAACACGTTACAAAGTAACGCGTTACTGTAATAATATTACTTTTGTCGGTAACGGAGTAGTGTAACGCGCTACTTTTATAATTCAGTAATCACACTACAGTTACTAACATTGCCCCGACATGCGTTACTTTGTTACTTACTAAAATCAGTCATCAAACCTCAACAAACACCTGCAAAGAACACATGCTAAGGTGAAGCTAACGCACAGCTATTTGTTGTTTGTGTATATCACGCAGTCTGTTCTTCTTCTCTGTTTTCCGGTTGTTGCCTGTTTTGAATGATGAATACACACTACCGCCGCCTGCTGGTAAGGAGAGTTATTGCCACTCACGCATGCGCAGTTCGTACGTGCTCGGCTGAAGTCTTTGCGGTATGTTCCAGTCTGGTTCCAGTGCAACCATGAGTGCAACACATGGCCAACACGCAGGAGAACACGCCGACGCAACAGCGTGAGCAGAGACAGACTGCGCAAAATATACAGATAGCAGGAGACAGAGGACAGCCATGGTCAGATAGGAAAACATTCAGGATCTGGATCAGTCTTATGCGACAATGGAAACTGAACTAAAGAGAACATTTGAAACTTTAGCAGTCTGCGTGATCTGCCTGCAGGGAGGGGCGGGCCGGCCCTGCGAGTAAAGTAACGAGTAAAGTAACGAGTAAAGTAACGACTAAAGTAACGAGTTACTTTATGTAGAGAGTAAAGAAGTAGTGTAATATATTACTTTTTTTTTAAAGTAATATGTAATATATTACTTTTTTTTGGTAACGACCCCATCTCTGGTCCCTAATACATATGTAATACAAACCTGAAATAATGGCATACAGTGTTTCCCACAGATCTGAACTAAACTTGGGGGGGTGCTGGTAGCGGGGGGGGTTGAGGTGGCATGCCTTTGTGACGTGCAACAACATTAACATTAACCTTTCTGTTGGTCGCTTGTTAGCAGACCCTTCACGCGATGGCAGAGCGAACAGGTACAGGCAGGGCCCATAGTGGTAGCCCTATAGTTTAAATCTACCACCCACAAATAAACATATGGACATGGGATACTATTTAAAAACAATGGTAAATGTATTTAGGAACCTGTCCATGTGATTCTAAATGGGGGTGGACCTGAAATCCTCTAGGGGGGTCCGGGGGCATGCTCCCCCGGTAAGATTTGTTATTTTATTTTGGAGTTAAATCAGTGGTTCCCAAACTTTTTCAGTCGGGACACCCTTGGGTATTGGAAATATTTTCGGGACCCCCCAACCCGGTTCCCATCTATACTGGTAGGATTAATTGTATATTGTTGTAAAAACATTACATTTTCTCTGCTAATAATAAGAAGATATAAAGATCCAACTATCATTTTATATTTTATTATGGATTACACATGAACAAAAGTGCTTGTAATAGATACTGTGAATTAATTTGGCCTAATTAAAACTGGTTGGCCTTCTTCCCTTTGTAGTAGATTTTTAAATTCAAATTTCTTTAAGGAAAATATATTAATTAACTACTATTTCTACTGCAGGTTGCAAACGATCACATCACGTTACCATTCCTATTCCACACTAGCTTATCAATGACTTGTGTGTGCTTGCTTTCCCTCGCAGATCTTCTCAAAGCGGGGCTGTTGTTTTGAGACTGCCCCTCTCAGTTCATTCTCAATGTTCAGCTTTGATCTGTATTTAGTTTTGATGGCAGCAACAGCAGAAAAGCCTATCTCACACAAGTAGGATGTTGCAAAAGGCAGCATTATGCCCACAGCTCTCTGACCAATGAGATATTTTCGAGCAGTGTTTGTTTACAATTGAATAATAATAATAACAATACATTTGATTTATATAGGTGCACTTTAAAAACAACGTCATCTCAAGGTGCTTCACAAAGCTAAAAGGAGAAAATAATAAAATAAAAAAATCTTCCCGTGACCCCCCTGCAGTACCTCCGCGCCCCATAGTTTGAAAACCACTGAGTTAAATGCATCAATCTGGTGCATTTTGAGGGGGAAATAAAGAGACTTGATCTATGGAAACACCTATATGAAACAGAGCTGTATACATTTAAAAAGTCATAAAATCATGGCCATAACCAATAACATACCGGCAGGGCCCAATAATGTACAGGCAGGGCCCATAGTGATAGCCCTATAGTTTAAGTCTACTACCCACAAATAAACATATGAACATGGGTTACTATTTAATAAAAATGGTAAATGTATTTAGGAACCTGTCCATGTGATTTTAAGTGGGGGTAGACCTCAAATCCTCTAGGGGGGTCCGGGGGTATGCTCCCCCGGTAAGATTTTTTTATTTTGTTATTCCCCGGAGTTAAATGCATCAATCTGGTGCACTTTGAGGGGGAAATAAAGAGTCTTGATCTATGGAAACACCTATATGAAACAGAACTGTATACATTTAAATAATCATAAAATCATGGCCATAACCAATAACATACCATTTCCAATATGAAAAAAACACTGAAACTTGTTTATTAATTTATTTTTGGTTCATTTATAGTTGTGAGTGTGTCGGTGCTCCTGAATCAGCCTCTCCTGTCTCCCTCCTCTCCCCCTGCTCCTCTTTGAGGCAGCAGCAAAGACTAGTTTTAGCTCACAAACAAGTTTTAAAAGTTACCTTTTTTCACCTAGTTAACTTTTTCTTTTTTTTATTCATGCATATTTTACTTTTTTACCCTTTCAAATGGAAATATGTGTTTACATAAATGGTGACCACACCGTTTGAGACCCACTGAGAACTTAGACTAAGTTAACTATCTAACCAATCAGAGAGTCCTTAACCTCACCTGAGCTGAGGTTATCCCGAGCTTGAATGACACACAGAGACCAATCAAGGGCTTTGATTTATGATCTGTATGACAGTGGCCATGTCGGCAGGCCACATCATGTGGACAGCCAGTCACCCTGTGTGAGGCAGGCCACTTAACAGGCCAGGCCATCGGGAAACCCCCCGGTCCTCCCGATGGCCAGTCCGGGACTGGGTACAGGAGGCGTAGAGCGAGGGATCATTGTCCACAAGTTAATCGATCGCAGATGGCGTCGTGGTCACGGACGAAAAAAAAGAAGAAAAAAAATTATTAAAAAGCAACAAACCTAAATGGGTCGCAAAATATACTTGGGCGGCCGTTAATATACCTGGGTGGCCCGCCCAACTAAAGTCTATGTGTGGGAAACCCTGGCATACCTTGGCCAAAGATCCAATTCTTGCCCCAAAATACAATATATTCTCCTCTTTTTCATATAAATGGGGACATAATACATTTGTTAGAGCCAATTCATTGCCTGAACACAAGCTCTTCAAATGCTCCAATCCACACTTAAACAAGAAAATGCTTCCTGCGCTAACATGACTTGGAAAAGATTAATCATTTCTATAAAGGGAGCTATTACCTTCTGTACAAATATGTGATTGTTTTCTTAAATGTCAACAAAATTATTATTGCATTGGCAAAACAACACCGTCAAACAGCACATTGGTTCAGATTCAAACGCTCCTATTGCAGTCAGATTTATGGATATTCACATCCAATTGATATTCTTTTGTGTCAAAGGCTTCGTACTCGTTCTATCTTCCCTGACATTTATGGGAGATTATTGTCTCTGAAAGTTATGTTGGAGCCATAATGACATGGTTTGAATGTGGATTTTTAACATAAGTGTTTTATTTCCTGACAGCCAAAGCTAATAACATAAGCTGTATTTATTGATATTCCTTCTGTTTTGTGTCATTTAATGTGTTTTATACTCTGCAATTCTGAGAGATCCTACAATGTGTAATGGGACAGGTGTATGCCATCCCCAGTCCTTACAATGACACACAATATACAGCTGTTGGATTTCTGTCAGACATCATTCCCACTTCAGGGCGCTCTAAACAATATTATGATGTATAGACATTTGGGGAAGCTGGGTTAATCGGAACATGAGAATACACAGTTACAGACAGAGAGAAGGAAGAAGTAAGATGTCCCCCGACAAACTAAGCCTATATCAGCAAAACTAGGGGCTGAATCTAATCAGCCCTAACTATAAGCTTTATCAAAAAGGAAGGTCTTAAGCGCACTCTTAAAAACGGATAGGGTGTCTGCCGCCCGAACACAAACCAGAAGCTGATTCCACAAATGTGGAGCTTGATAAGAAAAGGCTCTGGCTCCCATTGTACTTTTAGAGACTCTAGGAACAACCAACAACCCTGCATTCTTGGAACGCAATGCCCTAGTAGGACAGTAGGGTATAATGAGTTCTTTAAGGTAAGATGGCGCCTGCCCATTAAGGGCTTTGTAGGCGAGAAGAAGAATTTTAAATTATATCCTGTGTTCTATAGGGAGCCAGTGTAAGGCAGCCAGAACAGGAGTAATGTGGTCCCTTTTCCTAACTCTGGTTAGTACACGAGCTGCAGCATTTTGAATCAGCTGAAGCGACTTGACTGACTTCTTCAATCAAAAAAGAATTATGAGTGACATGTCTTTGGAGGAAACTTCTGTGTAGCAATGCAGGAGGAGTCACCGACTCAAAAGGAGACACGGGGAGAGCTGGAGCTTTGATGTCAAACACTGATGGTGTTACAGCCGCTGCCTTCCTGGGACTGTTAACTCTGTTTGTGTGTGTGTACATGAGCTGCGCAGTTCTCCTGATGCAATTGGCCGTCCTGCCCTCGCAACGTCCGAAACGGTGATTGGAGTGACGTCATCCAATTCCCGCCCGCTTCCGGAACATCATCCGGGGAAAGAGTACAAAGGACGGGGACGAAGATCATTCTGGAGGCTCTGTGTTGTGAGACAGACGCCTCTAGTCTCTTGTTGTACTTACTCATTATGCTCGTTAACACTGTGAATCACCTGTGTTTGTTTGTTTGTTTGTTTGTAGCCTTTATTTAACCAGGTGAAGCCCCTTGAGATCAAAAGATCTCTTTTTCAAGGGCGACCTGCAAGTTTAGTATACTGCTTAGCAGTGTGTGTTTAGTATTGTGTGTTTAGTGAAGTATGTTAGCTCAAGTATGTTAGCTTAGACTCCCTTTTGGAGTCCTCCTTTGTTTGGTCCATAGTTAAGTCGGCGCCGTTGGCCCTTTTGTTTGTTTCAAGCTGTTTGACATTTGTTTTACACTGGGTTATAATAAAGCCACTTATAATTATTACCAATTCCACTCTGGTCTGTGTTGCTTCCCTTTGGTTCCCCTAGCCCAGTAGGGAACGTAACAGATGGTTTATTTAGGAGCTTCGGCCGGAGAATTCACAAAACATGTCAAGAGTCAGAGGTCTGACTGACTTCACGGGAGAGTTGCCACGTCAATTCTGAAGAACTCTACCCCAGACCCATGTATTTAGCTAGTTCAGAGAGAATAATCCACATGCTGCATAACAAGATAGAATGATAACACCTCTATCAGCTGACGCCAACAGGCAGGAACAGGGAGACAAAACACTGAGAGCACAGCAGCCAAGGTTACAGGTGCCTGTGCTCAGTCAGGACAGTTTGAACTGATAAACTGGGTCAAAGTTATGGGCCTTGGAAAATACTTCCCCAACATTGTCCTTCAGTTAAATCTGCACAGCTAAATCATACACAACAGCATACAGTAGAGACATGTTTTGACACGTTGAATTGTAGCTGATCTAGTTCCTCATGTAAGATAATAGAACATAATTAAACCATACATGCTGTCATGGTGATCACAGATAGCATACATAGTATTTTAATAAGCTTCCCTGTCATTCACAGGAGTATGAATAGATTGATTTGTTCAAATGTTCAAATGGTATGGACTCCAAAGGGCTGCAAGTGTTTGTATGACTCAAACTTGAACCCATTTTCAAATTGGTAATATATATTTTCCATTCTCTTTCATGTAGGCTTTGCTTATCTACCTGTTTGTGGAACTGCTTCAGAAATGTCAAGTGGTGCAGCTAGAGTCTCTAAAGGTAAGCAGCACAACAAAACCCATATCTGCATTTAAAGGGGCCCTATTGTGCTTTTGGGGGTTTTCTTGTAGTGTGTGATGAAGGTGATGACAACATTATGAAACTCTCACACTTTCATTTTTTGTAAAAGTAAAAAAAAATGGTTATGTCATATGATAAGGGACGGGACATCTCTACATGTAAGTGGTTGACCAATCACAACAGAAAACTCAAATGAACCTTCAAATGACCATAATGTGTCTTCTTTAACTTGTGTTGTCATGCTCAGTTTTTTTTACGTGCACATAATTTAATAATTTATATTTACAGAAAACAAATACAAATAATTAATTTGAATTTGGTTACAATTGGCACTGTTCAGGAACCTGCCATCTAAGTGTTTCATACATTACATTTTACACCGTATGTTATGACAATAAACCTTTGAATCTCAATGGACTTACAATGCATGCCATTAACAGCTGAAATTGTTCTCATTTATACTTCTCATAATCAAGCTAAACATTATAATGTATAATGAATATTAGTCACACATGTTGAAGAACTGTTTATATTGTTTAGTCGGCTGAATGTGTGTCTGTTGCTCTCAGACAGGAGTAGCAGAGTGTATTGTGATGGATCCGGTGGGGGGGGAAGCAGCCGGCACAGAGGAAGAGGACGACGATGATAGTGAAAATGCACAAGCAGGTAAAATAAAGGTTCCTATTAAATACGATATTTTTTCTGTTCATTCCAGTTACATCCTAAGTTGAACGATATCTCTAAGTTTCATTTCATTTTTATTTGTCCCGCTCATGGTACGCAAAACCCAATGTACAATAATTGCCAACAAAACATGTCTCTACAAACACACCATTGAGCGAAAAGGAGCAGGGAGAAGAAAACAAATCTTATATGACCCGCCCCTTTCTAAAAATAAATAAATAAATAGAAATAGATGGTCTGCCCTTCATAATATTTTTCTTTTTTCTTTTTCACAGCCAAACATAACAGTATCTTAGGATACTAAGAGAAACACAAACAAATACTTATTTCCCACTTGACGGTTAACGGAAAGAAACAAAACAACAACAAAAGTTAAAACAACAGTGACATTTGCCACAACTGCGCTTTCTTTGATACACAACTGTATATATTGTAATATACATGTTATATGTGTATACAGTATATAGTACAATGTGCACATTTCACTTTAACTTCTTATGTTTCTATACATGTTTGCATTTTTCTTTCATAGGACATTTTGATTTATTAACTTTATTTAACTTCATGTAAATATATTTATCTTTATTTAATTTTTAACTTTCATTCATAATGTTTATATAAATATTTAGATTTAGATTTTTCTTATTCATCTTTTTTATTCAATTTAATAGAGAGCAACTGTCACAAAACTAAAGTCCCTTCAGGATTTCATCTCATGAATTGGCTCATGGAATTATTCTAATAAATACATCATAGATAAAAGTGCATTGGAGACGTCATGTTTATCTTTATTCTAAGTTTCTAGATCGTATTCAGAATTAAACTTAATCATCTTAGTCGACTTGACCACTCATCAGAGGCTACTTCCTGTCCCATTTAAAGTCCATCCAAAAACAAAACTGTGTCCAGCTGTCAATAATTGTTTACTTTGAGATTACAAATCATATGTTCATCATCTATCCCTGCAGTTTTATCTAAGAAGGTGGAGAGGCGTTAGCATTTATTTCTATCAAGCAGTTTAAAAACAATTATCATGAATCAAGTTCTGATGCAAATGTCCATAGGACTGTAACACTGTATTGAGCTGCAGCATCATATTGCACCATAAATTGCTGCATCAGGCCCGGCTGATTTGAATGATATTGATCTGTTAACTGGCTGTTCGGATCACTGATTGCATCGTGAGACATTCATCAAATGGGTCTCTGTTGGGGTGATACACACACCTATAAATTCATTAACGCATCTATAAAAGTCTACTTCACCAGCGTCTTTTGGAAACATCCTGGAAGAGAATACTGTGGAGAAAAGTTATTCCTATTGCCTGTTATTTGATCATATTTAAGTAAGAGGCCCCTGTATTTTTCAATCATGCAAAGCAATATGTTTACCCTGTTTACTTGTCCTGATATATTCAGGAAGAATGTATTCGCAGTCAGCACAACAATAGACTCCTCACTGCTGCGATACTCTTATATCCAATCCCAACTTCTTTGCAATTTGTAGTCTGCTTTGAATGGAATTAAATCAATGAATGTGCAACTGTGTAATCCCTTCTTTATGTGGTGCAACAGTAACAACAGGGCACTAATGTGCAGCAAGATGGTCATTAATGAATAAATAACCGCGACAGGGTGAGAAGGATCTTAACCCAAAGTGGAGGGATCCTGAATCACCCGTCGGTGTAATTTGTTCATGTATGATGACTTCGCTACACATTATCCCGCTTATTGCACGGTTACCTACTAAATAAATCATCAACTTGATTCGTAATATTGATTACAAATTATTTATTGATTAAAAATGATCGTATTGCTTCCGCTTGGAAAAAATAGTCCCTTCCACTGAGTACCAACGGCTGGAACTGCGTCACAGCAGCATCACTTAAAACGACGACAGCACTGATCGAGGTTTTCTGTAACTGTCCAAGTCTGTTCAGTTCTTTTCCATTAACCATTCTTTAAACACTGCAGAGCCCATACTGTGTTCCTGTTGGTGTTTACTTCCTGTCTGTCTTCTTTGGTTGATTTCTCTGACATCCAGCGGTCATTCTTTGAACCTTTTTCCTTCTTTTGCCCTATTTTTCTTTACTTTACTAGAGATTGTTTAGCCTTCATTGTATAGTACTTTTTACTACACTGCATTAATCTAACAAATAATCATTCACTAGTATCTTTGTAGATTAATATTTGACATATTGAACAGGTGGTCACGATTTAACTATTAATGGCTTAACAATAAAGAGCATTGAAATGCCTAATTGAAACGTACGCAGTAAATCCCAAAAGTATCAATATATTTGTACTAAATATACAGATTTCTGATACCACGTTTTTACTTAGTAAGTTATAATGGAGTAAAATATCTGAATATTACTTCCCGAATGCTTTTACATTCTTTATAAGTAGGATTTGTGTGTCTAGTAAAAGAAGCTTTCGTTGTCTAATCAAAAGAGACACAAACACTCCTTACCTATAAAAGCTGCATGTGCATGCTGAGCAGGGTCTGGGTTAGAGGGGTGGCGCCTACGTTATTTAAACTCAAAGCCAGCGCAGATGGTGTGTCAATGCACCACTCTGGTATCACAGACTTCTGCATTGCCATTCATTTAACTTGCTTGTTTTGACTATCATGTTTAATAATGAACACTCTGCCAGGACCACTCACATCAAAGTTATTGTACCATAAACAGGCAGTATAATAATGATGAGATGTGTGCTTCTGTCCATGAAGCATGCACAGTTGCTCAAACTGTCAAAAGCAGCGATAGACTTTCAGACAAGAGCACTCTGAGGGCTCGGACTTCCACCAAGGCTCGTGGTGCATTCACTTACTCCTTAGGCGGTCCCAATTCAAGGGTTAACAACCTTTTTCCCACTTGGGTGTTTTCATGAGCTTTAAGTCTTAATGAGGGAACAACAAGAGCTCTACCAAGTGGATTGTTTTTATAATTTTTTCTTTGAATACTCTAATGAATGCAGCACAAAATTCTCTATTTACAATTTGAACAAATGTAAAACAAATGGTGTTCCGTTCTGTGATTAGGATCCGCTCCAAAATGTTAATGTTCTTCCTTGGCCCATGCTTAACCCTTCTGTTGTGGCTCATTCATTTCCCCGTTCCGTGATCGAGACAAATGTGCCCGAGGCTCAGTCCCACCCCTTCCTTTTATTACAGCTGATTGGTCACAATAAATCCAAACAAATCTCAGAATATTTAATTTACTACAAATTCATGAATCGAAAGAATATATTAAGACCTAAATCAACACCTTCCATAAAGTTTCATGAAAATGGGGCCAGTAATTGTTCTGTATTCTCGCTGACACAGAGACAAACTGAGTGGAAAACATACCCTCCTTGGCGGAGGTAATTATAGTTTAAGCAGAGTATTAAAACAATTATTGACATGATAGTGTAGATCTTGTTTTTTGTTTCATTTATAATTGTGTAAAATGTTTCACCCGGTGTCATGACCGTTTCAACGTCCTTTCTTAGTGTTTTCCCACCTGTGATCGTTTGCCCCACCCTAATTATTTCGACCTTTGTGTCCTTTGTTTTGTATTCCCTTATGGATTCTATTGCTATATATATCCCCCAACAGTTAAGCAAAAACAAAAACGAGGAGGGAACAAGGAGTAATACAGATACAGAGACAGGAAACATGGACAAGACAGTGTTGTATACTGTAAAGACAGAAACTGATCACATGGCAATACAAAGCTGGAGAGGGCAGGCAAAAACACAAGGGCTGCTGGGTGATTACACATTACAGACAATCATAGAAGGCGGGACAAAGACAGGAAATAAAATCAGACATGACACAGGGGGAACACAAAAAAATACTTCATGGAGGTGAAGCTTTTGTTGTCGACAAAGAACTGTTACCATGGTTGCGGCCTGATGGTCTGATTTTCAGTGATTTAACAGCCTTGCACATCTCTCTGTGTCTCAGATACAGGTTTACTGCAGCCCGATGCTGTGTCTCTGCACGACCAATCAGAATGCCTGGAGCCCAACCTCCATCTGCTCGGCTACCTCTTCCTCTCCCGGCCAATGAGCCATGCCTTCAACTTCATCATCCTCTTCCAGTTGTAAGTTACCATGGTGATGAAGCAATATTTACCATACTTACAAAAAAAACACATTAAGTGTAGGAGTGAGCATGTGGTCGGGGGTGATTTCCCCCTCCCTTCTGTCCATTTGTGTTAACTGCAACCTTAGTCATGACGCTGTGAGCGCTCTCACAAAGAAGCAGCTCCTATTTAAGATGTGCATCTATAAAAAGGGTTGATAGCAATTGTCTCCAAACTGTTTAAACCTTTCCACCCTCAGTTTATTTCCACCTCTTCAAATTGAAATATCTAATCCTCAGTGTGGGATGTGGAGACATCAAGAGGTCTTTTGGGAGGGCCAAGTGTTTTTGTTTAAAAATGTTTGGATGATGAAACTGAAATGTACCAATATGTTTTCATCTAATTCTTTTTTGACTCTTATTATGATTTACAAAGTTATTGTCTATGGTAAGAGATATTTAGCTTGGATAAAACACATTGTAAGAAAAATACATTCAGTACAGGAGTTGGAAACATCATGTGAAAAGCTCATTTCTTCCAGTGTACTGAGATCAATACTGACCCCCTATACTGCCTCCATTAACCCCACGTCCTAGCATGTTACATTTCAGTTTCTGAGTCAGACTCGTATATAAACCGACCTTGAGGTTCAGACTTAATATGTTTGGCTTCTGCTGCAGAGTGTTGAGATATACAGTTATGTGTCTGAGCCAATAACTGGTAACCTCCTTGCTGCTGCATCTGCAGCTCTCAGAGTTTTCAAGATCAACAACCTGTTTTTTGTCGCTGTTTTCCGACATTAATCAAAATACAAAAATTATAAAAATTACCCTAATTGCATTCTGAAACTGGTTGTTATATCTTAGGGTACACAATGGATCACTGCTGACATTGTTTTTAGTTATAAACATACTATAATTTACGACACGAGTCAATCTGACTTTTATTCCATTGGAGTGTTTCGTCAACTTATTGTGTTGCTTATACTGCATTTTTTGTGGGATAGAAGATATTATACATCCCCAAATCTACATCATTCAATGCGGTTATCCGGTTATTTTCATATCTTAATGACGTCGTGGTTTATTAAACGTTAAGCATGATCAACTGTGCATAATTGATTTGTTGCGTCTAGTTCACAACTTGTATCAGCTGACAAAAACAAAGAGCAGCAAGCACAGAGCAAAGAGAACCCTAGTGGAATGGAGGGGGGTTGTAACAGCTTGGTATGGTTGTGTATGAAAGTGTAAGTAAGTTGCCTCAGATATAAGTGTCAGCTAATTGACATAATGCGTCATCTCAATAGGCTCAGATCTCCGGACGATTCGAGTATTTTTGTTCTTGTTGTCTTAATGCACCACTTCGCAACTATCATAGAAATAGAGCCCCACCTCCAACACTACCCAGTTGTCTTTGCACACCAATGGCAGACATGCACTTCACCGTTTTACCATTTTATCTGCAGCATGGTCATATCTTGTTATTTTTCACAATGGTACACTTATGTAGCAAAAACTGGTAAAGTCTTGTATCGCTTGTATCTTGTCCTTGCAGCACTGACAGGACTGTATATTGTTGGTCCTGTCGGGCGCAGAGGAAGGGGACAGGATGTTAGCATGGCCGCTGCAGGGTCTTGTTATCAGTGTGCGAGCAGCTCTGTAACACCTGGCCGATCGATCGTTCCCTCATTGTGTTCAAGGAGGCTTAGTGGTCGATCAATGCCGAGGCTCGACTGCACGCACAGCCTCCGCACAAAACACGACCTGCTGCTTTTACCCTTGCCACTCCTTGGTCTTTATGAACTGCCCTACATGGTGCAGCCTTTGTAGAACACACATAATGACACACTCACTGTACGCTGCACACAGGGACATGCACACACACACACACACACACACACACACACACACACACACACACACACACACACACACACACACACACACACACACACACACACACACACACACACACACACACACACACACACACACACACACACACACACTGACAACTCGATAAATGCACACAATTCAAGGTGACCATGCAATTTGCAGATAGAAAACACATGAAATGTAATAGTATATTCTAGGGGTGTAACGGTTCACAGAAGTCACGGTTCGGTTCATACCTCGGTTTGGGGGTCACGGTTCGGTACGGGTTCGGTACAACAAGGAAAAGCAAAAAAAAGTCCCAAATGCATTTGTTTTTAACAGTAGTGCAAGTTTTGGTATGAAAATAAGGAACTCTAACATTTGGAATCATTAACTGTATTACACAGTTAAAAACAAACCACAAACAGTAACACACACACACTCAGATGGCCATATTATTTATATTAGCTGATGTCAAACAAAAAGGTTAAATAATAAGATAGAAATAATAGATATCATCATCACTTCACGTCAAGACGAGTTAACTTTTTTTTTTATCAACTTTGTGTGGAATAATGCGGGGATTATGCGGCCTTTTGATAAATATGCGGCCTTTTAAAAATCTGCGCCATTTTGCTGATTATGCGGTAAATTCTGCGATCGCAGAATCGCGTTTTTCTGGAGGGTCTATGTTATACAGTTCTGTATTGCCTTTTATTGATTGTGATTCAAACACTTTCTTATTATTAATAATAAATTAATAATAATCAAATAATAGATCTGAACTTAGTTCATGATAACTAAAGAGTTCTCATGAACTAAGTTCTCATGAACCTTTGTGGGAAAAGTACTGCAGTGTGAATGCGCCTATTTCCTCTCTCCTCGGTCTCGGTCTCACCGGAAGTTGATTTGTCTGCGCCATCTTGAGTAGCGTCCCGATGGCCTTATTTTTGCCGGAGGACCGAGGATCAAGGAGCGATAATGGAGGAGCTATAACCGAGGAACCACCAGACCATCCTCCGATGAAATCTTCAGACACTCGCCCCGCCCCCTTACTGTGTATCGCTCACTGATTGGACGATGCAGTGCATGCACTGATCTCATGCTTCTTGACATGAGAGCAGTTTCTCAGCGGAGTGAAGAAAATACATGAACCTCACGGGACTCACTCCTCAGTTTATACCGTGTTTTGTTTCAAATAATGTTTCATTTAGTTACAAATATGTGATATATCTGAACAACAAAGTGGTCAAAAATCATTTTCTTCATTTTTGGGAAACATTTTCATGATCGCTTTTTTCGTTTTACATTTTCATTTATTGTCATTTCCATTCAGTTAGTCATTAAGTGCTATTGAAATGTTAATTTACTACATATCCAAACAAACAAACAAAGTGTGCAATCCAATGAATGTTAATCTAACTGGGTTTTGATAGATAACATATCTATTTTTCTTCTCTCAATTATTTTATTTCTATTGTGCACTCTAATCAATATTAATCCAACTAATGTTCGTTTATACATTTTAAGAATGGCGTTTATCTTTTTTGAGAATGAGTTCTTATTTGATTTTATTTATTTGGGTCTACAACAGATGATACAAATGTTTGTGTCAGTAAATGTGTGCTAACAGTGGAAACAACGGGGACAGAGCTGGGTTGCGTTCGGATAGTTTAAAAATCAGCTCCTAAATTCTAACCCTATCTCCTATTCCTTGACCTCTGAGTAAAACGTCACGGGGTTAAGGGATAGTGGATAGTGTAAGGGAAACTTCTGTGTAGCAATGCAGTGGGAGTCACCGACTCAGGAAAGAGACACGGGAAGAGCAGGAGCTTTGATGTCAAACACTGATGGTTTATTTGGAGCTTCGGCCGGAGAATTCACAAAACAAGTCACAGCATCCACGATCTGACTGCACGGTAGAGTTGCCACATCAATTCTAAAGAACTCTACCCCAGACCCATGTATTTAGCTAGTTCAGAGAGCATCATCAACATGCTGCATAACAAGATAGAATGATAACACCTCTATCAGCTGACGCCAACAGGCAGGAACAGGGAGACAGAACACTGAGAGCACAGCAGCCAAGGTTACGAGGTGCGTGTGCTCAGTCAGGACAGTTTGAACTGATAAACTGGGTCAAAGTTATGGGCCTTGGAAAATATTCCCCAACAGATAGGAGAATTCAAAAGGACTTAGGAGAAGAGACTGCGGTACTTTAGAGAATCCGAATGCACTTTCACTATCCGACGTGTTTATGATGTGCCAGCGGACGTCATGAATGTGCGTCTGCTGCTGTGGGGAAACTATGGAAACTACAGTTTTCTATACAGCGGACTACAACATGGATGTATAATAAGAACGAGGGACTAGTCACTACTGTAAACTCATCTAGAGACTCTGCACCGTGCTCTGATGCTGTTGTTTTATGCTTTATGAACGTGGACAACAGAGAAACATATTCTTCATGACCAAAGTTGGAATTGAAATAAAAAAGGAAAGTGAAACTTATGCTCGTCACCCTCTCCCTCCGGTCCACATTAATACAAATGATCCCAATACGTATGATTGTATGAACTATGAAAATATCTTAAAATCAATACAAATGTATTTATTATAAACGTTAGTCCTTAACATCTATCACTGTGTATATCACCATTCAAACATCTTTTAAAAGTTGAACAAACCCCACACAGCTCAGTAAAGACTGTGAAATGTTGACTTTATTTGATCATTTCAGTAAAAACTAACGTTCATATTTCTCTTTTTGATTATAATACTGATGAACGTTCAAAACAAAGCACTTTGGCAACTTACCACATACGTTTTAAAATGCTTAATAAGCACCGTAACTTTCATGATATAATTTCTCCTTCATAATCGTTTGTGCCGACTGTTGTGTGACGTCAAATGCTGCGGCTGCAAGGCATTGTGGGGCAGCATTTTCTCCTCTCCTTTCGGTTAGGGAAGCTAAAGGAGGTTATAAAGGAAGTTTGAAACCTCCTTTCCTATCATTCTAGAGAATTGGAACGGCACTTATCATGGCTGCCACTGAGGGACTTCCGGGTCATTTCACTCCGTTAGGAAGGTTCCTAAGCTAAATGGACTATTCGACTGCAGCCCTGCTGTCAGACGATCAGCTGTGCAGCGTCATCACAAACGGACGTCGCTTCACGTGACGCTCCGGAGGAAAGGACATCCCATTGCTCTTAAAACTAATTTCCCTGCTTCTCGTAGTTTCCTTGCGTCTCTCCATGCTTCCCTTGTGGGAGGGACTAGTCACAGGGAAACGACGCAAGTGAGGGACGCAAGGAATTCATTTTTTTATTCTCACTCGTAAAAAAAAGGCGTATTCGGCGTGTGACTGCATGTGCCGAACCGTGACGTCTGAACCGTGACGTCTGAACCGTGACGTCTGAACCGTGACGGTACGGGACGAATACGGATACCGTTACACCCCTAGTATATTCTCAATACATAATATAACTGTGTATGTAAGTATCATCTAAACACATATTTTACAATGTAAAACATTTGAGTTTGAAGGATATACCTTCTCCAAATGAGTGGAAAACGTAGTAGAAACACATCCAAAGAGGAAACTAAATACATATCCTGCTTACTGAACTTGTTTCCTTTCATTTGCATACATTAAAAGAATATGAGTTCTCACAAGAATTCTCGGATTCTCAAAGAGCAGAGCCGTTATCAACAAATATAACCAATTGCTGTAGAAGTCAATTTGTTGATGTCATTTTCTCTCTCTGAACACGGAGAATCTGTACTAAGAAGAATGTCCTTCTCGAGGTTCAACACCAACCTTTTTTCTAATCTGTCCCCCATCGGTATGTATTGCATTGATGGATTATTTGGAATTCAGTTCAGAGTCCTGCGCAAGCCTGTAGTTGACCTTTATGTGCACATACACACACATGCAGGATTTGTCATGAAATGAAAGTGTGTATCAATCACTTTTGCGCTGCTATTCTTTCTACCTTCACATTCAGTATCAGGCTACAGTTCACATGTTTAAAGTGGCCCCATTATGCTTTAAGGCGTTCCCTTTCCTGTAGTGTGTTCTATTGGTTTTTGTGCATGTAAAGGATATTAGAAGATGGAGTGACTATCCAGATTAGCAGAAATCATGCCACTTATCCCTGATGATGTTATTTACATTTCAATATGTGGAGCCAATATCTCAAGTCCTCCTTCCCTTGCTTTGGTAAATTACTCTACGTCAATATACTTCTGTTGAGGACTAGTGTGCACGAATCCTCCTTAATCTGTTTTTCTTTAAAGATTCAAAAGGAAGCAGAGTGGGTGTAACTCGGCTCTCCAAAATAACACTCGGCTGCTAATGGATTTGCACTCCCAACAACCAACTATTGAGAGATTACTGAGGCTTACAATTATAAGAAACAGAACAGATGTTGAGCTACACAATCTTTTCTTGCCACTTTGTTTTGAAACTTATAAAAAAAATACTTATTTCTTATGCTCTGTTACTTTATTAATGCAAAGCAAACATATTCCTGGCTTGATATAACCACAACCACAACATTTTCTTTTAGTAGCCCCCAAAGGCAACTTCTGTTTTGAGCAAATCTCAAGTAGAGAAGATGTGTAGGATCAAGGCGCTGAGCTACAAAATAAATATATATTTTTTTAATGCATTCATAGCCTCAAGTGTTATGATGAAGCAACATACTAATGTTTAATTCAACAGGCTTAATAAAGCTTGTTCAACTTTGTTTTTAGAGAGCAGCAGGAGTTGATGACCGAGCACCTAACACCAGGGTAGGAATTTAGCTGCGACCTTGACGGCCAAGTCAATAATTGTACGTCCTACGGCCTCCATGGCCTTTGTGCCCCTCACACTGTTCAAATCTCGAAGTTGCTTTAAAAGCGTCAGAGCAGTGATCTGGTCTCTGAACTGCATTATGCTGCGTTCACACGGACACATGCGAATATATTCGCTGGAGTTTCCCCGCGGCTGTCAGCTGTGTCATTCAAACAGGACGCGCTGGAGAGGGGGCGGGGCTTATATCCATGTAAATACTGTGGTAGAAACCAACCAAAATGAACACATTTGACCGTGATTTAATTGTAATACACGTTTTCAAAATGATGCCGAAGTAACAACATACTGATAACGGTTAGTAAAAACCACGAATTAATGCTTTGACAAGTGTGCAGACAAGACGGCAGGCGAAAAACTTTTTAAAATGCGTGTTTTCTGAATGGAGATCGGATCGATCAGGATAACTAAAGTCACTAACGTTGTATATGCTCCGTCCAAACTCACAACAACGTCCTAACAGAAATAAAGCAGCAACTGTATTCGCCATGACACAGACAGTCTGTTTTGTTCTTGTTTAACTTTTGTCTAGTTTCTGAACAGATATGAGGAGCTGTGAGCTAACGGCTGAGGTTTTGGTTTTCTGATTCAACGTTAGTGACGGCAGGCGGAGATCTTCACTGCTGATTGGCTACCGCGAGAACGCGTCAGGCGAATTTGACGCTCAAGTTGAAATGTTTTATTAAAGAGACTCTCGTACACAACCACACACACACACACACACACACACACACACACACACACACACACACACACACACACACACACACACACACACACACACACACACACACACACACACACACACACACACACACACACAGACTTATTCATTTAAAAGTGTTGCTTGTTCATACAGTTGAATGTTGGAGCTTCACTGTGCACTGCTGAATGATGTATGTGCATAGTTTGACCCTCGAAGGCGGTTTCTTCTGCTCTGAAATGGAATATATTTATTACATATTAATAGAACTTTAGATTTTTTTATTTTATTTTGGATTTGTGAATGGGAGAAGTAGAAGATGGAAAACATACCAAACACTAATTATTCAAAGTAGCGTATTTTTCTTTATATACAGTAATACTAAGGAGGCATATGCCTATATGATGATATAATGTTTGACATTATTGATGTTAAAAAAGTGATTTGTTTTCCATGTCATTCGTGTGTTTTTCTTATCAGAAAGTGAAGTTATTTATTTGTAAGCTCCAAATCCTAATTTTTCCCTCAATGGCCTTTGTGGCCTGGCATGTGGCCTTTGCGCCCTAAAAGAATTTGTGACACCAAAAATGACGAAATTCCAAACCTGTCTAACACCCTCTCTCTATCTCCTTTTTCTGTCTCTTCTGTTCTTGTCTTTCTCCAGTATTTCTATTGGGATCAGTTATGTGCTAGCTGGCAGTGAGGCCTATGCGGCTCTTCTTAATGTCAGGTAAGTCATCCACACACACACACACACACACACACACACACACACACACACACACACACACACACACACACACACACACACACACACACACACTCAAAGAACCAAATAAATATTACAGAAATCATATGTTGTTCCTTATTATCCTAGGTTACATACGCTGGTGTTCAGTATCCAATCTGATTCCAGGATCAAATGTTCTTCATTGAAAACCCTAAAATATTTCAAATAACTATTTTAATTGAGCTTTAATATTTGTGATTTAGCTTAAAGGGGACCTATCATGCAAAATGCACTTTTGTACGTCTTTTATACATGAATATGTGTCCCCGGTGTGTCAGGGAACTCAACAAGTGTCAGAAAACACAACCCTCTCTATTTTCCTCCGTACCCAAATCTCTAAAAACGTATCTGATACAGACTGATCCAGATTTGAAATTGTTCTGACGTCAGAAACGGGGTGCTCCGCCTATATGGGCAACTCTCCACCTATCAGGGGAATGAGAGGTTGCCGTGGCATGGTAACAGCATGGTAACAGCATGGTAACATGACGCTCGTGCCTCGCCCCCCTCCTTTGCAGGGGGGCGTGGTCAGCTGCAGCGCATGCAAAGACAGGGTGGAGGAGAGCAAAATAGAGCAAAATGAGGCTTCACAAAACTTCACAGACATGTTTTATATAGGTATGGCCCTACAATATATTATTCAAATATAGCATGATAGGTCCACTTTAAATGATTGATATATTAATAAAAAAAGTTTAAATATCGGCACATCTGGATTAGAGTTGTTACTAATAACTCATTATCTATTGAATAATCCCAACTGAATTGATCTTTGGGATTAATTTTCCACCACTAATCTAATAAACTGATTGCTAAAGTTCATTTTATCTAGAAAAACTGAACATCATTAATCATCATGATGCAGCACAAAACAAAATGTAAAAAAAGGTTTAAACTCATCATGAAAGAGAATAATAAAAATAAAAAGGTTATTATTTAAATCAGTAATGCAACTCCAATAGAAATACAAGTTTCTATAAACACCCTCAATGACCCTTAAGTAAAAACATGAGAAAGAGAAGATGTAAACGAATATAGCAGCATAAATTCAACACGCAACAATAAAACTAGGTCATATTACCCACTATATGTTCTTTTAACTTACACATTACATTTTATTTGAACTAAGTTAACATTTTCTCATAGGGGAACATTTGACCCAGCATTGAGTCACCAGTTGATATTGCAGTGATGATGATGAGTGATGTGGAGAATTGATTGAATCACAAATGATCTTTGGCCCAGAACAGAACAGCCAGAACTGTTGCAATGAACCATGATATTAAGCGTAATAAGTTACATATCTCTCACCAGCGATATAAAAGTCATTTTAACCTCATAAAGTCAATGGATGTCAAAAATGATAAGTTTCAGCTGAATGCAGGTAATTTGACTAGGATCATAGATTAATAGATTGGGGACTGCAGTAGCTCAGTCTGTGGGGAGTTGGCTTGGGAACAAAAACCAAGTCCTACCACTGCAAACCGGTTTAAATCGCAGGCTAAACCTAACCTCAGACACAATAGTATAGGGCATGTGTGTAGTTGTAAGTCGCTTTGGATAAAAGCGTCAGCTAAATGCAATGTAATGTAATGTTGTGTATTGTATAGACAGGACTAACAAAGTGAACAACTGAATTTCCTGAATTTTTATAAAGTGGATTCTTCTTCTTTATCCTGCTCTCCAATCATCCTGACACTTGGACCAGAACAGAACTGTCTTTTGGAAACCCTGTTGATGTTCTTTAACCTCACGCTGTACTGGATAATGATGAAATTATTCATTAAAAGGACACAAAAAGAGGCTGGGATGAATAGATGCTGGTCAATTCAGGCCAAACAGGTGGTCAATGCTAGTCCATTCATCTGATTCTTAGATTGGTTACAGTAAAGTACACATACTTTGTTACTATACTTCTGGTATCAGTACTTTACTTTTACTCCTTACATTTTCAACACAAATACCTGTATTTTCCACTTCTTACATTTTCAAAACAGGCTCGTAAATGTATTTTTATTCTTCATTTGGGAGCGTAATAATTGTTATTTAGAATCATTGCGCGCTTATTTTACTGTCATTCAGAAAACATGATCAGTGTATGTATGACAAGAGAGTATTACAATTTGATTAAGAAGTTCTTTAATGTTATATAATATAAAGTGAGGTCCAGTTACCAGATTGACCCGTGATACGTTTCAAAGTCCTTCTTTCTTTTACTTGAGTAAAGGAGTTTAGTCAGTACTTCAACTTTTACAAGAGCTTTTTTGTTTAAACACAAGTATCTGTACTGTACTGAAGGATGTGAGTACTTTTGCCATATCTGCTGAGTTGATACCAGCGGCCTAGAAAGGCTCACCACACTAGCTGACTACAGAGACCCTGAAACTGACCCCCAATGCGTTAGCTACTGTAGCTAATAACACGCGTCACAGCTTTGACGTGAACACCTTCTTTCCTTGAGATCCTAAACTGCAGCTTTATTATTGTGCCACCAGATAGAAGTAAAGATAACTGTCTGCACTTCTGTTCATTTTTATCTTGGCAGCGGTGTTATAGGATGGATTATTCATAGAAAAAATGAGCAACTTTATAAATCGCACAAGCAGACTTTTCACTCTGTAAGGATACTGTATACATACACAGTAAAAAAAACAAATGCATGTGACCTGTACACATTAGGTATGATAACACATATTGACAAACACATGCATGCAGAGAGAAGAGGTTGCTCGGTTTTACTTGCCCATGGACATCCCGGTGGAACACAGGAGCTGAACTTGCACCTCTTCAGTTACCGATTTGTGCGATCGGTACTTGAACCGGTGACCCTCTGTTCCTTTTTTTTTATAACTATATTTGTACTGAATGAGTAGGGGTTTGAATACACTACATTCAACATTTGAACAAGAAACAACATTTCCCTTCCTCCAAAAAAGAAATGAACATACATGATAAATACATTGATTAAAGAATGAAAGGAAGAACACATGTGAAAAATGGTTGTCATCAACAATATCGCATCCCCAGTCATTTGCAATACACAAAGAAAAACCACCCCACCACATACCCCTTTTAACACACACACACACACACACACACACACACACACACACACACACACACACACACACACACACACACACACACACACACACACACACACACACACACACACACACACACACACACAGAAAAGCTTAAGATGGTGCTTAAGTGTTTCCATATGACCCTTTATCACCCAAGCCAAGTCCCTACAGACGGAGCTTCTTTAGCCCCCAGTAAGATATACACATTACCAAACTACATATGAGCACGCAGTTTGCTTGTATATCTTTGTTTGCTGTCTTTCCTATGGTGAAAGATGAACATTGTAAAGGTTTGTGCAGTAGCTCTGTGGCATTCCTAATGTGAGCCCTTCATGTGACTGAAGACTATGATGATCAGGTCACTCCGAATAGTCTAGAAAACGAGTAAAAAAATGATAACAGTGAAAAGACAAAGAAAGCCAACAAATTGGAAAAAGCTGCAACTATTGCTTTTGCAACTGGAGAACGCTGGATATCAGTAAGCAGTACGCTAACGGAACTAATTCATGACAAATGATCTGTAATCGTTTGCTTTAGGTGTGGTGAAAACAGAGGAAAGGCCTTTTTCTGAATTATGCTTCAGTTCCTTGAAGTTTCACAGCAGTGTGAGATAGTGGACAGGGTCACCACTGTAGGAGCAGGTAGTGCTCACAGTATGATAGCAGCAGAGATCATATGTCCTGTGGTTCACACACTATGTCTCTGTGACAGCAGCGATTACAACCTTTAGCTAGGTTTCAGATATATGAGTCAATCATTTAGAAATGATGTAATAATAAAGTTCATTATCTAACCAGTTTTTCATGCATTTCTTCATCACAACACCATACGGGTATTTGTTTTATCTCCCCTGAAAATACAATTAAATACTTGTCGTACGTATCAAGCTTGACATAACTGTTTTCCATAAAGTACCATAGGAGGAGATCAGTTTCATTGTTAGTTTGCTTTTCCTACATATAAGTCACTGATATTCTTCTCAGGGTTAGCAGCTCCTAAGAGCGTGTGACTCAGAGTGTATATTCAAACTAATAATTAGCAGAGAAAAAAATGTTTGAACCTATTTAGGTTTTCAGATCAGAGGTGGAAAAAATGATTATAACAAAAACAGTCTGACCCCCCATCAATCCCACTTTCATTTTCTCAACAATCGAAAAAGTGGTTTATTGAAATTGAATTCTTTATAAACTGATGCAATCCTGGGAGCTGATCGCTGCCCACCCGAGTGGGATTGGCTTTAATTAGAGCAAACAAACAGCAGAAATGTTTCCTGAGGCAAATGTATCCCATTATCACACTAAAAGGATGTATTTCTTTATTTTCTTTTAGTTTTTTTAGATGTCTGACCCTAGTATAAAAAAGTATTCTCTACTAATGAACACTAAATAACTAATTAGGTGAGAGCCTTCACTTGAAACTGCGGCAACAGAACTCAAAAGGGTTAACTGGCGTAATTGGCCGACATTAGTCATTATTTTTAAATCCATTAATATAGCACCAAATGAATCCAATTATTTTATTTTTGCTGCCTTTCTTTAAGAACATTCTGCATCCAGATAACTTTATAGTGTCTTTTAACAATGCTGTATAGTGGGGTAGGAGTTGTCCCGTTAATCCTAAAGACACAATAGAGATAATGTATTCTGGTGTTATTGAGGTGCAGCTGTGTTTCATGCTTAACAATAAGCAATACACATTCTCTGTTCAACATTTAAAGAGGCCCTATCAGGGTTATTGGGGTTTTCCCTTTCCTGTAGTTTGTTATATAGGTTTTTAGGAATATCAACGGTCTACAAAGGCTAAAATCCCAAAGTTCCCTCCAGAGGGAGTTTCCACACGCTCATGTGTTTACTTCCAGAACAAAGTGACCTCACTATGTAACACTTGTGTGCAATTGGCTGGTGCTCCATACGTGATAGGCCAAGGGGCGGAACATTTAGGACACATCTCTCAGCAGTTGACCAATCACAACAGAGCCGGCCAGCTAACCAATCAGAGCAGACTGGGCTCTGGTTTCAGACAGAGGGTGAAAAGAGGTGCTGCAGCACAGGCAGTATGAGAACATGTCACAGCAGAGGCAAAAAATACAAATATGAACCTGAAAATGAGCATAATATGAGCTTTTATTATTTTTTAAAACAATTTAAGGAGGGTTTTCATTTGCATGTATGTCTATTCTCTTAACCCATAATAATAATAATAATAATAATAATAATAATAATAAGGGTTTACTATATCTGACACAGATCTTTATGAATCAAAACCTGAACAGTTCTGATATTAAACCAGATCCTGCCAAAACTGAAGTGACTGAACAAGAACAAATATATACTCAACTGTTTCAGATGCTTTAAGCAAGAATCCACAAGGATCTCCAAATGAAACCTTTTAAGTGAGGTTTCGGAAACTATAAAAACGTTGAATTTGAATATTTAGGTGAAATTAGTCATTTAAAGTTATGACTCTTATTTGCATTGTTCTGTCTTTTCAAACTGAATAGCATTATCATACTGGAGTCATTAACTACAACACTCTCCAGTCACTGAAGCAAGAATCAATGCAGTACCATTAGCCTTCTTTTCGAGTGATCAAACCCAATCCCCCCACACCCCACCAACACCTCCTCTTCCCCTCTCCCAGGCCTATAATTACCTTTATCAGTTAACAGGACTAATTTATTTTGTCATGCCCCAGTAAATACTTAACGCAAATAATATTATTCAAACTCTGGTCGGTGGGAGCGCTTCATTTGCACGCCTGGGCGCTTCATTATCAGCGCCGGGGGAGACGCTGTGATGCGTTGTGGGAGTGGGATGGCAGGATTACTGGAGTGAAAAAATCTTGTGCAGCCTTCTTTGGATAAACCACCTTATTCCCCCTCCCCAGAGGCAGCAATCAATAGGTTAGTGCAGGTCTCTGCACAAAAACTGCTCTCAGTCCCACTGCTGCAGATAGTGGGTGTCTTGGAAACAAACTCTGAGCTCTGCAGGGTTTAAAGATTTAATGAGATCCAATTACAACCCAGGGAGCCGATTACTGTCTTAATATTCCTGCAACAGAGACTGCTGGTAAAAAAGTAAAAAAAAATGTAAATATCGAAGAATTCAAATCTCTTTAGGAGCTAATCAGAAATGGCAATCCTTCATTTAATTTATTTCAGGTTTTGATTTAAATGGATCAATGAAGGTGTCAGATATGGCACCCCTAATCATCCTTAAACGTATATACTTAAAGGTGGGGTAGGTAAGTTTCAGAAACCGGCTCGAGATACACTTTTTGTTATATTCCATGGAATGCTCTTAACATCCCGATAGCAATGAATATCTGAAGTGCTTTGACAAAAAATTCATACAAATTTTCCATCTGTGGAACCCGTAATACTGTAAAAAGCACGACTGATTGCTGCCCTGCCTGTCAGCCTTCCATCTCGTGCACGCACAAATGTATCTCGTGCCCTCATTGGTCATGTGCGCGTTCATGTGTGTTGGAGGAGGTGCTCTGTAAGGAAGTCTGAAGGAAGGGGCGGATTCTTTTCGGCTGTGTACTTTCAAATTTTAGTGCACTCGAGCCGGTTTCTGAAACTTACCTACCCCACCTTTAAATGGAAAAACACTCCTTAAAATGTTATAAAATACTAAAGAGGAAATGTTATTTTCAGGTTCATATTTGTATTTTGCGTCTCTGCTGGGACATGTCTCCATGCTTTAATGTTCAAAAAGCTCTTTATTTTTCTCTTACTGCTGCAGCACCTCTTTTCACCCTCTGTCTGAAACCAGAGCCCAGTCTGCTCTGATTGGTTAGTTGGCCGGCTCTGTTGTGATTGGTCAACCGCTTAGAGACACCCTGTCCCTTATCATATCACCTAAGTGTTGGAGCGAAACCAAAGCAACAGCAAAGAAAACATAAAGAGAAACATTTAATATAATTTCATCTTATTGGAACAAAGTGCTTGTTCAGTGTTCGGACTCCAAAACATGTTTTTTAGTAGAGTATTAAGTACATTGATTATTTATTTATATACCGGCAACAAAACCAAGATGTAAAACTCAATATTTGCCTTTTGACCTTAGTGGAGTATAAGTATACACTTGTATCGCCCTAGGCATTGTCTCCCACGGATCATCCTCCCCTCTACAGCTGTCAGCTTGAGCGGTGACAAGCTAAAGTTTGAGGGCAGGCGTCCTCCAGTTAGTGCTCTTGGTAAAAAAACGAATGAAAAGTGAAACAAATGGATAGTGGCACAAATTGGTAATAAAAGGCATTATGGACATGCTTCTGTCATACTACGCAGGTAAGAGCAGTCATACTACACGGGATCACTTTTAAACAGTGGATTTTCTTGAACTTATGTGTTAATTCTTTATATCATTCTTATAAGGCTCTCTGCGTCATCTTGGCTCGATCTGAACTTACCATGCCCCATCCAGTCGGAGTGGGTTTAGAGGGAGCTGTTCTCCCACAGGATTGTGTGAGACATGGGTGGATGCTCCTTCCAGAAGAACTTTTTTAAAGTTTGAGCATATTAATCTGGTAAACTTTGAGAACACAATTAAGAGGCTGGATCACTGAAGAACTTTGTGCTTATGGAAACCACTTTGTTGTATAGATGTGAATGGTAAAATAATGAAAAAGCATTATCTCACCTGACCTAGTGCTGGTCCCCGGCAAACTGCCACGGATGCATTCTGCGTGTTGTTAATGCATTAATCAAACTCTGAAGATGAAAACCCCTTGTTTTACTCATATTTTCAGTTATTATCTTTCATAGTGTTAGTGTAGTGTTATTTGACAAAAGGGATAGGGCAGGCAGGCAGGCAGGCAGGCAGGCAGGCAGGCAGGCAGGCAGGCAGGCAGGCAGGCAGGCAGGGGCAGGGCAGGCAGGCAGGCAGGCAGGCAGGCAGGCAGGCAGGCAGGCAGGCAGGCAGGCAGGCAGGCAGGCAGGCAGGCAGGCAGGCAGGCAGGCAGGCAGGCAGGCAGGCAGGCAGGCAGGCAGGCAGGCAGGCAGGCAGGCAGGCAGGCCAGGCAGGCAGGCAGGCAGGCAGGCAGGCAGGCAGGCAGGCATAGGGTTCAATAACAGCAAAAACAATTCTGTTCTGTCTCTGGATTCACAGTCATTCAGCCCATTCAAATGAGCCTCTGCTACAGACACCTGTGTGTAGGTGTGTGTCGTTCAGTTGCAATTAAATGTGAACATGAATTAAAGCAGGTGTGTGACTGCTTGTGTGTTTTATCCTCAGCCACATCTACGTGATCCCGGCCTTCACCTGGATTCTGACTCTCGCTATATTAGTCGCCCACACGGTCATCCAGCCAATCACCTCGCTGCTCACCCTGCTGAAAGGCATCCTGCTCATTGTCACGGTAACCTTTATTCAATTGTGTTTAATTATTATTTCAGGTTTCCTTCTTTATTGCTCATGAGTCATTTACCCGCAAGGCTGTTAGGTGTTAAATATGTAGTTATTATCATCCACTTCTTAAATCACACAATACTTTGCCCATACATTTTCATTTGGATATATTAATTACAATAAATGGTTGTCTTTCTTTGACAGTCCTTAATGTCAAGTTCTTGCAATTTCTGCTTGTAAGGCATTCCGGCCAGTTAGCAATCATTTCTGACTTTTCTTTTTTGAGCAAGCAGCAAAAACTAGAAGATCTTGTTTTCACTCTGTTTTATTTGTATAATGTGGTTATTGCTACTGGCCCATATGAGCAGAATATTGGCTTGTTTACTGGGCTGACCTTCACTGGCCTTGAGTAGTCAGGCATGTTCAAGATTTGTTGGATTTTCTTCCATTTTGCTGAAACAAACTCACATTGGTCTTCCTCTACCAGCTTGATATGACGTTTTATTTACCCTTCACAGTGTTGCCCGCCATGTATTTAACATCATGTCAGGACATAAGGTTGAGAAAAGTGCACAAACTCCCAATGAGGAACTTATAGTGGCAACTTACTTTTACTTTTATAATTTGTGAAATTGTGGCCGGTGGGTCCAATATTTAAATACTTAAAAGTGAGTCATGTAATTGATTGGTATCTTAGCCTAATAGGCTTATCACTTTACATTTCTACTGACTTTCTTTATAAAACATGAATAGCATAATACAAATAAAATGCAAATATTTATCATTTAAACACATATATATACAGACATGTTATTCATTGGGATAAACCCCTTGAGATACACCATCTCGTTTTCAAGGAGGGTCCCGACAATAGCAACAACCTACAGACATACATAAACAAAAAGTATACAGTATATCTTACATGTAGTGCACTGTCATTGCTAGTCTGATTGCATGACTCATCGCCATGTCATGGTCAGGCCCAGCGCCCATGTAATGTAAGTAGAATGTGCATGCGCGCCAATCTGTACCCATTGGTGTTCATTTGTCTCAAAATGAGTCGAGGTCAGGCACATTTATCATTGTCCTGTAGTTGGTATTTTCCTAAAACATTTTCCTTTGGTCTTGCTTGAATCCCTTTCTTTGTGTTTTCCCGCCTTTTGTGATTGTCTGCTCTACCCTGACTCTGTCCAACTGCAGTGTGAGCAAATAGCGAGATAACACTAAAGAGAATGATAAAAACAAATGTACAGTGATGCCTTCTTTTAAAATAACGACGACACACAACAATATTTTCTTAATGTGATGTTCTGCATCAGTGATATAGGTGGCCATGGGGGGGAATAATGCGAAGCATACAGCTTCTGCCACTGCAACTGCATGGCTTTCTTTATGTTTAATGCAAAGTGGCGGCTCTACAAGTTGACATTTTGAAAGTGTTCCCACCACAGATGAGAATCTGTAGCGATCATTGTTTGACCATAAAATCACGCTATTTTCAAAGGAACTGAATGTTGGTAGTTGCCGATTAAAAGCTTGAAGATCTCCTATCATGCTATTTTTATGGACATATTATGGTTCTCAGATATATAAAAAACATGTCTAAGATGTGTTTTGCTCAAAATACCAAATAGATCACCCATTCCAGCTGTGCCTCATGCCACTCTATTTCAGCACTGTTAGAGAAGTGCCGATTCTGGGTCCTTAGCTTGAAAAAAAAAAGATGGGGGGGAGCTTATGCCTGCTCAGAATTCTACCCAGATACTCAGCTAAATGCTGCCATGATTAAATGCCACATCATGTTCAAAACCACATCAAGGATTATTGCTGAAACAGTATGGAGCTCAAATGCTTTTTCTCTTGCGGGTTTATCACAAGGTGAGTTCCTTTTTTTATTTCCAAAACACTTTGCGCTTTGTTTCTGATAGTGACATTACATTATTACATGACATTGCATTTAGCTGACGCTTTTATCCAAAGCGACAATAAGTGCGTTCGACCAACAAAATACAACCTTGAAGAAAACAGAATCATATAAGTACATCAGGTTTCATAGAGCAAAAACATTTCAAGTGCTACTCAACTGGCTTTAGATAAGCCAGCCCTTTATTAGTATATAAGTGCTTTGTTAATAGTTATATCGCTCGAAGTGGAGTCGAAAGAGATGAGTTTTCAGTTTGCGCCGGAAGATGTGTAAGCTATCTGCTGTCCTGATTTCAATGGGGAGCTCATTCCACCATCTTGGAGCCAGGATAGCAAACCCACGTGTTTTTGCTGATGTGAACTTGGGTCCCCTTCGCACCGAGGGTGCAGCGAGCCGTTTGGTTGATGCAGAGCGGAGTGCACGCGCTGGGGTGTACGGTTTAACCATGTCCTGGATGTAGGAAGGGCCAGATCCATTCGCAGCATGGTACACAAGTACCATTGTCTTGAAGTGGATTCTAGCAGTTACCGGAAGCCAGTGAAGGGAGCGGAGGAGCGGCGTGGTGTGGGAGAATTTAGGAAGGTTGAAGACCAGACGAGCCGCTGCATTCTGGATGAGCTGCAGAGGTCGGATGGCACATGCAGGTAGACCAGCCAGGAGGGAGTTGCAGTAGTCTAGAGGTGAGATGACGAGAGCCTGGACCAGAACCTGCGTCGCTTTCTGTGTCAGCTGGGGACGTATCTTCCTGATGTTGTAAAGCGTGTATCTGCAGCAGCGGGTTGTTGCAGCGATGTTTGCAGTGAAGGACAGTTTGTTATCTAGGGTCACACCCAGATTCTTTGCAGTCTGAGTCGGGAAACAACAGAGGTGCCGATGTTGATTGTCAGTGGGACAATCTTTTCCCGGAAGGAAAAGCAGCTCAGTCTTGTCAAGGTTGAGCTTGAGGTGATGAGCAGACATCCACTGAGAGATGTCAGCTAGACAAGCAGAGATGCGTGCGACGACCTGGGTCTCTGAGCGGGGAAAGGACAGAATTAATTGGGTGTCGTCAGCGTAGCAGTGGTATGAAAAACCATGCGGGCTAATGACTGATCCGAGCGAGTTTGTGTACAAGGAGACGTTCCACATTTCAGATATTACATCATATCAGTTAAATATAAGTTGTACCCCCCGTTTTTAGAGATTTGGGGTACAGAGGAAAAAAGAGAGGGTTTTGTTTTCTGACACTTGGTGAGTTCCCTGACACACCGGGGACACATATGTATGTATGAAATACATCAAAAAGTGCATTTTGCATGATAGAAGACCTTTAAAATCTGAATGCAAACTGGAATGAAGAATGTCAGCAGCACAAATTGCCATTACGATCTAGCCAGGTAAAAAGAGGTCAGGGTCAAGGGTCTACATGTCTCGCTGAACCTCTTTTCTGGCTTTTACATTCCTCAGTATCAAGATAGCATAGTTTGTGCATTAATGTCTAGAGGCAGCAGAAAGCCATTGTGACATTAAACAACGGAAATCTTATTTAATGTCAATGGCACAGTATTTTTCTGCTATTTAAAAAGTTATTCAGATAAAACGTGGCATACCCTTTAGACGTTTCACACACAGCTCCCTCTCCTTAGTTAAATACAGTGTCGGCAGGCGATATGTCTACATATTATGGAATATAATGAGGTAAGGCTCTTAGGCAAGGACACTCCACAGTGTCCCATAAGCAGAATCTGACACGGCAACTCCCCGTGAATCTACTGGAACAAACAGTAAGCTATCATAATCAGTAAACAGAATATAAAACATTGTATTAAAGGATAGTTATAGGGCTGTACCAAATAGTTGCAGACTCAAGGCCTTTTGTCTTCTAAAGTAAAGTAAATGGAAATCTTTCAGCAGTCTTCTCCGTAACCTTCACGCTTCACACTTTACAGGCTTTTCAGCTCCGTCTTTATTCACTTGCTAAAAGTGTATATCCTTCGGCCATTTCTGATGGAAGTCATGTCGCCATGACTGCCGTGCTTTCGCGCCAGGTCATGCTGGCAGAATGGATGGAAGTGGCATTGTGGTGCTCAGTGAGCCCCCACTGTGGGTGGTAGTTTTGGGCCTTTTTCAGGTCAGTGCTCGCCAGCATCAGGGGGTGTCAGCAACTCAGCGGGGGCTCTCGATAGAAGTCTTTCAACTCGGGCCAGACAGAGTACATTTAACAGCATCACATTCCACAAGGTTACACCGCCTTACAGTATTCTGCTGTGCCAACTCTTTGATTGACGCCTTCTTTCACACAACTTACACAATATTTCATCACAATAAGAAATGAAAGGTCATGTTCCATTTTCATTTTCAAGCCTAAGTTAATAAATGAACTACATATCAATCTTAATCGTACTTTGAGGAGGGATTTCCACCTCTTCTTACATATGAATCACTTTTAAAGCCAATATGAACAAGAGAAATACAAAATAAAAAAGAAGTGCGAGACAGACGAGGCACTACTACAGAAGAAGTAGTCCTAGTTTCTGATTAATAACCCATCATATTACCTCTGGACAGAATATATGAATGTGTGTATTAAAGCAACAACTTCAATGTAGTGTTATCAGTAAAAAGATAAAACAAATAATTTATTTTGTATGCCGCTTTGGGTCTTTCATAGCGAGTAGAACAAATACTTCTGCATGTTCTACAGTACTGTAATACTAGTACAAGTGTTTGTCCTCCACTTTAAAGTCATAACTGCGCTACAAGTGAAGAATCTGCTCAAAGATTGTAGTTCAACCCTTTGATAAACTGGGAACTAACAGAGAAAGATGTTGACATATTTTTTATGTAACCAATGTTAACGTAATGACAGTTTTGGTCCACTTTCAAACACATTTGGTAGGTTTTGGTATCAACCTACCAAAACAACATATGGAGGCTGGCCGACAACAGTGTTTCTGACCCAAACCATGTTCTGAACAGTGAACATGAGTTGTTACCATCAAATCAGAGATACAGGGTCTTGCGATTAAATATGGCTAGACTGAGGCCTTCCTTTTCGCACCGTTCAATCATCAAATTTAATAAAGGGTTGAATCCCAGGTCAAATG